AATGCTAAAGCACCAAGAGGCAAGGATTGGTCAGGGATGAGTTACTTGTTTGAGTTTGGGTTTTTGTTTGTTTGTTTTGCCTTAATTTTTTCTTTTTTTTTTTTTGTTCTATTGATGCATACACTGAGTGGAAAAAACATATACAGGAAAATTGCACAAACTATTCATGTTTTTCACCAGCCTATTAAGGGTACTTCTGGCCATTGTTAAATAAGAAGTCTAATACATAAATATTTTAGTATGTCATAAGGTAACTGTCTGTTTTATGTGAGCAATGAAAGGAGCTAAAAGCAGTGGAGTCAGGAAGGAGAAAAAAAAAATTGAAGTTGTAAAGACTATTTTTTCACCCTCTGTGGGATCAATTTGTCCAGGCATTGAAGTAGACAAGGACACACATGTTTTCTGGGTCATGATCTGCACTTCACCACATCAAGATCCCAAGTGTAAATGAACGCTGATCCATCAGCATTATTTTTGCCTGATTCACGCTGTGCTTAAACCTTGTGTACGGACATGTGATGCAGCTCCCAAAGACTGAGAGGTATGAACAGCAATGGGGTTTCTAAGTGAGAGAGCCAAACCAAGTGAGCTAAGGCTTCTTCTTCTTGTGTAGATTGATGTGCTCTTCCCTAAAGGAATGACTGTTTCCAAAGAAAACTTCTTTCAAGACTGATAACCACAGAGGAAAATGAAACAAACTCCTGAACAAGTTTAAAGGATGCCTACAGTTGTTTCATGTTTTTTCAACAAAGTCACTGGCACTACCATTTCACAACTAAAGGACATGGCATATATTAATCTTGGTGTCAACAAGCCTTAATGTTAATCAAGGTGGCATTCTTGTTAGGTTACCTGTTTCCAAAGACTAACCATTAAAAGTTGTGGATGTGTATTAATTCTTATGCAGAGGTCAGACAGAAAGTGGGTCAGGGTGCGCTTCTCACTCTGGTTAGAAAGCTCCTATGAGTTCTCTCTGATCAGGAACAAGTTATAGCAGTCATGTAGACTACGGAAGAATCATGAAGTCTCCAAATGGAGGAACTAGGCCCTGGGCAATTAGCTGTAGGTGGCCCTGCTTATTCAGGGGCATCTGACCAGATAACCTCCAGAGGTCCCTTCCAGCCTCAGACATTCTGTGATTCTGTGAACATGCTGATCTTTCCTCTTTTTGCTATAAAAATCCCCCAGAATGCAGTGTTTCATCACGTCTTAGTAAGATGGACTGGCTCATGATACAGATGGTAAGGCCAGATTAAGTTCAAGCCCTTCCTTACACAAAGCACTGAACACTCTGAAAGTTAGACACATTAGTCTGGTTGAATGTAATTATTTGTGTGTCCTCGTGTGTGCTTCAAAGCTTCATAGGACAGTGAGAGAGACTGCTAAAGACCATGTGTTACATTGCCTTGTTTACCTTGTGTGACTTTCCTCCATTTGTAGTTGGAAATAGTGACAGCATCTTGGTAATTTTACCAATGCACTGTGTGTCTGAGATTCCCAAGTGCTACGACTGCACCTACTGGGCCATATATTGTGGCTATGCATTTGAGATTCATAACGGAGTGGAAAGGGCACTTTTTTGCAAAGTGAAATACATACATATGTGTGTATATATATATATATATATATATATATATATATATATATATTTTCTTTCCCTAAACTTAATCTGAGACTTTGCATCAGTATCATTGTGAATAAATCTCCTCTGCAATAAAAGCATGTTGCTTGTAGTCTGTCACATTAAAATAAAGATTTGAACACAGCAAGAAGTCACAAATGGAAAAAAAATTATTTACAAGAAATCAAACGAAAGAAAACTCCTCTTGAGCCAATGCCTTCAATTGTAGAGAATTGTTATTTTACATTAGGAGACACTGTAGTGAGTTTTAATATTATTATGTCCAGAATACTGTAATTTCATGGCAGTGAACCTTAGGGATAAGACTGAAAAATACTTGCATATAGGACCTAATGTAAAAACAACTTACTTATAGCTTTTTTTTTTTTCTTCCATTGATTTCAGTGCACTTTGAACTGATCTGGATTAACCTTCATAGAAATGCTGGAAATGCTGGAGGGAAGATGAATATGGAACTGAGGCAGGGATAGGTAGTGGCTCTGTCTGGCAGGGGGTGATGACAGGACAGGGGGCTCAAGTTGTTTTGATTTGCTGAACTTGCGGTTGAAATGTGGGAAGAAATGCTGTCACTTCTTCTATTGATATTTGTTGGGAGACACTCATTATGTATTACTCCATATGTATGTGTATGTGCATGTGAGACTTTTCAGACTTTGGATGAATGCCTTTTACATAGCATTTTTAAGATCAAAATCTATACAATTATGTGGATTCCTGCATGTAAATGATTTTAGGGAGTCTGGTGTTTTAACATTTTTAATTTTCTAGTAGATTTTATGATAGTGTAAAGTGATAAATTATCTTTTGTGGCTGCCAGAGTTATTTAACTATCTGCAGACACACCATTAGCAGGAGCAGTCTATGCCTGGTTGGTGTTCTTCGTCCCTCATTGGAAGACTGCTCACAGGGAAAAGGGTTTCCAAGCATTTCTGTGCGAGGCCCTTTTGCCAGCAGTGCCACCGGGGTGCTGGAAAGTCCTGGCCAGCCATGGTGTGTTACAGTCAGGAGGACATTTTTCTACCACGCAGTGGGGAAAGCTACCAAATAAGCATCGGATATTATTGACTTTCCATCGCTACTGGCCTGTGTTAAAACCAGTGACATAGAAAAGAAAGGTTCCATTTCCCATTACCAGATATCCAATCCCCCTAGAAAACATCTGTTGAATCTGGGATGATGCCATGGTATTAGCTCTTCTGTTGCATGCTGTTTCATTGGCTGTTCTCAGCGCTGCCCTGTCTATCACAATGCATAATCTCTTTTCAGAGAAGTTTCAACCACATCCTTAGGGTCCTCAGTCCTGTTTCTTTGATAATCAGTGGTAGTTTTTAGCCTTTGGCACACAACTTGAAATTTAGAAACTTGACTTTTTGCAGGGTGTAAGACAGGGAACAAAAGTTACCCGATGATTTCATGTGACAAAAGTTGTGCAAGGAAAAGAAGTGGGTCTGCAGAAATCCTGCAAGTTGCCGTGTTTATGATCCCAAGAAACTTGCACTGGAGTGCCTCAGACACATAACTAAATGCTTCTCAAAATGCTCATTATTGAAGACAGTTTAAGAAAACGGTCTTTAGAATTCATGTGATATACTACCAACCGGAGGGAGAATAATACAGAAATAGTTTCTTGATGATGTGTGCTAAAGCAGCAGGCATTTAAGAGCAATGGATGTCAATCTCTGAGGTTTTTGTAAAGAATTGCAATTTATGATGTGTTAGGGTAAACAGTTGGATTATATTTCTGAAATGCATGTTCCATCAGGTAAAATCATTGTGATTATAGGCTCTAGTACTTTAAGTAAGTAAGTTATGCACTAAAAGGCTGAAATTGTAAAACAAGTATGCTTATGCTTAACTGTTAATCCCTCTTTGTATCTACGCTGAGTAAACTACAAGAGAAATTGCATTAAACAATAAAGGCAAAAATGGCATGTTATGTCATCTTGATAAACAAAGACTGTTATACTGTTTTCCTTCAAGAAGCAACTGTGACTGGCCTCTGTATTCTCCCTCAATGGAGAATGTGCCTGAGTGTAAAAAACCACGGAGGATTATTTAGAAGTTACTTTGTTCATGCCTCTCAGTGAAAGCAGCACTTTCTCTGCATCTTCTCGCTTTGCTGCTTTTCCTTAATTTCCTCAGCTCTTATCTATTACAGAAAGCTGAATTTGTCATTTCAACAACAACCTACTTCCACGCAGTTCTGAATAAAGTGAAATAAAACTTTCTTAAAGAGGTTTTGGAAAAGTTTGACAGCATAAAATAATAAACGAAAATAAATCTCCAATATTTCTCCTAATACAATTTGTGGCATGTCAATGTCAAAGGATTCTAACAACAAATCAACAAATATTTGAATGAAAACAATATACATAACTTATTTTCCTATATTGGAAACAACTGTCAAACAATTACTGTATGACTTCACGAATTAGTTGGTTGTTTTGAAATATTCCTGCTAGGATTAAAAAAAAAAAAAAGAAGTCTATATGGGCCTTTGAGCCTGAACATATTGTGTCAATCATAGGCATATGCAATGTATCTAAGCCATGAGGTAAAAATTTTCTTTGTAAATTATTTCATAAATAAATAATTTGCCTGAAAAAAGTTTATGAAAATATTTTTGCCTTTATTAAGTTCTCTACAATTCTTTGTGGTGAATATAAACAGATTGATATTGACATCATCTTGATCTGCTTTAACAAGAAATTCAGAATGCACCATGAAAGCATTTTTAATAAAGATACAGTAACAAACTTTTTCTGAGAGAGTATTTCATTAGAGTTGTCTACTTGAAACTATGAAGACGTGTTTTGTCCTTCTCATCTTTGCTTATGAATGGTTTTGTGGTTTCATTTTAAAAGAGCATGCACAGAGAGGCTTACATCTTTTAAAAACACACCTCTAAAATACTGTTCTACAGGTGAAAAAAGGTGTGTTTGTTATCAAGGTTTGCACGTGTTGAAACCTGTGCTTTCACTGTTATTGATCTTCACAGTTTGCCTGTCATAATGTGAATAAAATCTGGGAAAGCTGCAGCCACACATAAGAACTGGCTGGGATTTAAGGTGTGGGGGGCATCATTTCCTGGTTTAAAATAAAAAGTCATTAATAAGTCTCACTAGAACAGAGAAGTAAAGGGAAATTATCCTTGTTTAAATATTTTCCACTCAAGCCCTGCTTGTAAGATGCTTAGCCAAGTCATCAGACAAAATACCTGCTGATTTTAACCCTTCCTATGCAAGACATATGCCAAGTGAACAGTCACTCGGGGTTGATATACTCAGTAAAAATAATAAAATCAAAATTGCTGAGAAGAACGCATTTGAATTGATGTGAATGGGGCAAAACCACTTACTTTTCAGAATTCTGCATTCAGTGAAAGTTGTGCAAGCGATTTGTCTCTTCGACTGTGATTCAGCCATGGCATTTGCAGCTTCAGAAAAAGTAAATTTATGAAGTCAGAAAAGGTTCTCTGTGCGCATATGAGTGAGGTGCTACTGAGCATGGCCCCGGTACTAAAGTATCGAGGCAGACTTTGCAACAAACTTTAAATTCTGATATTACTTTTCTTCGCATTCCATATATAAACATCTCTGTTGCTCTGAACTCATTTTCTGCAGGAGGGTATAGAGGGAATCCCACACATAATCAGTCAGTTCTCCTTTCCCCGTGTCAGAGATCCTACTGTGTGTGCCTCATTGTGCAACTATATTTTACCTTCCATTTTCAATACGACAAGTTCACCTCTTGTATGTGAATTATTGCTTTTCTATTCATAAAGGGCTTTATCAGACAATCCTACAAAAGAACTTAAGGGGGAAATGTGTTACTGGGTGATTTACATGAGCAATTACTTTACAAATCTGCCAGTGGATTATACTAAACATGTATGAAGAATGTTTAAGTTTGCAGCGAGGGCTGCGAACGCCATATGTTTTACAGAAGGGTTTCATTTGCGTCAGCATGTATCTCTGAAGATTTTATGCTTTACATTTCACCATGTATTTGAGAGTAAAATTGTAAGGAAAAAAGTTATGTCATTTCAAAATTTAGGGGGAAAGCAGCTTCATCTCTTGAACTGTAATGATTTAACTTTTTTCCAGCTTCTTCCTCGAATAATATGTTAGTAGTTGCAAGCAAGCAGAACTTATTTTAATGTGAAATCAGCTTAAAATGACTTGCATGGGAGGAAAAGCATGCCATATAAAGTCACCTAACTGCAGAAAAATTGTGTCCAAATTCCCAACAAATGTTTACGTACTTTTTAACGCCTACTAGATTTGGGATTTTAAAACCCTTTCACAGGAACCTTTTATGTACTACTTCTCCTTGGAGAGAGTTTTTACATTAATATGCAGACTTCTAGCAGTTCGTAGCACAGGGGAAAGCGGAGTATTTCAAACTGAAAAAGTTCTGCACAAGGAGGAAAAGTTGTGAGGGTTTTCTCGGAGCAGTTTCGGGAACTGACCTGCGACCCGTATCAAAGAGCGGGCGGTAACGGGACTGCTCATCCCACAACCTGGGAACCGCCTGCCCACCCGCCTCAGCACGGCACACAGACGGGGGGTGGTGGGGGGACAGGGCAGGGAGGTGACACTAAACCTGCGGGAGACTACGCGCAGAGCTGAGGTCTCTCGAGGGTGGAAGCTGCTGGGTCGCGCCTTTTCTCCCCACCCTCCCCTCTTCCAATCCCGCAGGACAGGCGCGGGTCCCGGTGACAGCCGCGGGCAGAGCCAGGGGCGCGCCTGTGGCCTGCGGCCATCCCCGCTGC